ATATTCTTAAATAAAACTGATAAAACAGGTTAATGCTCCGTTTAATGACTTTTTATTAAGCATTCTAATTATTACGTGTTCAGATTATCCATTCGATTTCGTACATAGGAAAATCACTAATACCACACTCTAATCACGGTTTTGACTAAAATGTTGTGTCGTATAAATAAAATTTTACTGTATAAAGTGACAGTTAATTTAAACCAGTTTAAAGTTGTATTTTAACTATAGTTTATAGTTTATATTCTTAACGTTAAACAAAGTGACAGTTAATTTAAACCAGTTTAAAGTTGTATTTTAACTATAGTTTGTAGTTTATATTCTTAACGTTAAACAAAGTGACAGTTAATTTAAAGTGACAGATCAGCATTATTAAACCAGTTTTATAATTTCGTGCTCAATAAATTATTTTATTTATCAAGATATATTGTAAGTAAACCTATTTAAAGTAATGCTCAAATGGAGTGTACTTTTCAAAAATGCCTCGCGAGGGTTATTTTTTGAACCTTAAAAATAATGTTATGACAAAGATTCTTCGTTCAGATAAAAAAGATCCCAAGGAGTTAAGAATCTTAGTCAAAAAATTAATAGACCAACGTCAAGCATTCATATTGCGTCAATTGAACAGAAATGAGATCACTGTCACTGCTTTTAGCTTAGAAAATTCAAAACTTAAAAATTTGAAAATTAGATTTGATTCATTAATTTCTAAACTTATTCGATTAGAAAACAACGAAAAATCATATCAAAATGAAATGAAAAAACTTCAGGAAGAAAATATCAACCTTAAAGTAGAAAACAACAAGTTTAAAGTAAAAATTTTTTATTTTTTTATTTATTTAATTTTTAATTTTATTTTATCTTATTTTTTTTTATTTTTTATATCATATTGTTCTGTCAACACATACAAAAGAATTATAGAAAATAATGAAAGGGAACTAATAAGATACTATAATGTTATTCAAAAAACTCAATCTGTATTGCAGAATGCATTTCAAAATAGTGAAATAGGTAAAACTAAACATGTGTAATTCAAAATATATATTGTAACTTTTCTAATATTGAATTCAATTACCAGATATTATCCAATTAACAGATTTATGTAATGAGATTAAAGAAATCAGTCAAGAAATTTGTCAAGATAATGACTTTAATATGCCTAATGAAAGCCCAAATAATGATACAGGTATAATTGTCTATTTTAATTATAAACGAATTTATAATATTATAATAAATAACTGAATTCTCTAATAATCAATAGTATTTAATTTATTTGAAGATATTTTAAATACTTCTGTGCCAAAAATAGTTGAAGTGATTGAAGAAATTGATAGAAAAGATTGAGAACAAGAGTTTTCATATTTAGTTTGAACATGGAAACTTTTAAATTTTCTGTTTAGATACTAGTTAATTACTATTGTATGAAATTATCTAGTTTGATTGAATATAAAATTTCATAATATTGAATAAAATAAAGTAACTTTGTAAACATATATAATGAAATTATTTTTTCATAGTTGGCTTTACGAATAAGAAATATAAGAAATACAGTATATTAATTTTAAATTATTACAAAAGAATTTATAAAATAATTACAGTTTATATGGTAAAATTTCCTAACAAAAACGTTTCGTTTGAGCACAAAGTGTGGTTTCTTATGCAGAATTTGGAGATATGAGCGTTTTTTTGGCAAAAAAAAAGAACGTTTTTTTTGAATCTTCCTGATCATGTTACGTTACACCTAATTTTGAAATCTGCGTCGCCAACCTTGTACGTACACATTTTCGGTGTGCAGGTGGAAAACGTGCTAGAATATCATTATTTGGTCAATTCGTTAGTACTATATTTCAAAATGAAGATTGTCCACGCTCAAATCCAAACTCTGCTAAATTAATATATCAAAAACTTAAAAGTGAAAAAAAATACTTTAATGCGCCTGAGAATTTTTTTTTTTTGGCATTGTTTTGAAGTTAATCTGAGCTTTTCCACACGAACAATGATGCCAACATAATTAATTTTAACAAGCAAAAGAGTTTTTGCGTAAAAATATTTTAATTATAGGAATTGCGAAAATTACAATATACAATAATTAAATTTAGTATTCTAAAATGTACGTGCGCAGATGCACCAACCAGATCTTTTCTAATAATCGACTCTCTATGAAATCACCTACTGCGCACTAACAAAAAAAATTCATCGTAAAATTATAGTATAAGATATGCTATAATTTCAATCACAACCCCAACCCTAATGCAGGTTTTTATTACTTTAACAATTCGATTGTTTAATTAGTGCAGATTGATGGTCTCACTGGGGTTGCTTACAGCGTTGCATATAGTGATATAAATCAAGATTGACATAATTAATATAAAAAAATTTAATTAACGTAATGGTTAGAATATTAAATCTTTGAATTCGAATATATCAAACTTATTTCATTAATATAGATTTAATTTATAGTTATATTATAGATATTAGTAATCTAATATTTAGCATCAAAAAAACCTGGAAACAAAAAATATTAATTTAGGCCGCGCAAACAAATAAAATTGTTTCTTGTTACCCGGCCGGGTAACTTTTTTAGAAAAAGCTAAAATTTTTTCTATATAAAATTTTTTATTCTTGTATAAAAAAAAAATTTATAAAATTTTTTTTTATATGAAAAAATTTATTAAATATACCATTTTTTGCCGGCCGGCCGGGTCCTATTAGCTTGTCCTATAAAGCGAGAAACAACTAATTTAATTTGCATGCCTCATAATAAAATCTATACAGCAATAGCAATAGTGAATTGAGTATTAGTTATAGTTAAACTCTTTTAGCTGTATAAACTTAAAAAGAAAGAAAACTAGTGTTTAAGTATCAATTTAAATCTTAAAAGAAAAAAACTTGTTTAATAAGATAGTAAACAATCTAGCTGTGTAAAAAATAAGCACCAATTAAAAATATTTTCTTACTAAGATTCAAGTTTAATGCAGTAAAACACTTCAGCCGTGTAAAATTTAAAAAAAGAAAACTAGTGTTTAAGGAGCCGTGTGAAAAATAAGGACCGATTAAAATATTTTCTCACTAAACCCTTCAGCCGTATAAACTTTAAAAGAAAAGAAAACTAGTGTTTAAGGAGCCGTGTAAAAAATAAGAACCAATTAAAATGCTTTCTTACTAAGATACAAGTTTAATGCAGTAAAACACTTCAGCCGTGTAAACTTTAAAAGAAAGAAAACTAGTTTAAGGAGCCGTGTGAAAAAATAAGAACCAATTAAAATATTTTCTCACTAAAATTCAAGTTTAATGCAGTAAAACTCTTCAGCCGTGTAAAAAATAAGTACCAATTAAATATTTTCTTATTAAGATTCAAGTTTAATGCAGTAAAACACTTCAGCCGTGTAAACTTTAAAAACTAGTGTATAAGAAACCGTGTAAAAAATAAAGACCAATTAAAAATATTTTCTAAGATTCAAGTTTAATGCAGTAAAACTCTTCAGCCGTGTAAACTTTAAAAGAAGGAAAACTGAGATTGTGAAACAATCCAGCCGTGTAAAAGATATTTTTACATGTATTGATCGGCTAAAATGATTTTTGTACACTGTTCATAAAGACGCCCCTAGCTCTCCCACAAAAAATTGTTCATACCTTGTAATTTTGACCAATCGAATTTTAGGATCAGAAACCAAAAAAACAAGAATAACTAAATTTTTTAATTAGGAAACCACCTTTTGCGGCCTAATTAAAAATGTTCCTCGTGATATAAGAGTTATATTGATCTAATCCTAACCCTAAATTAAACACGGTTTATTTGGTTTTCATTTTACGCGTAACATTTTTACTTAACAGTCACACGATTTGTCACGCAGATCATGTATAGATCTCTTATTATACAAATTTCTTCTATTTTATATTGATATTATTCCTTCTATATCTTAGAGCTTATATGACTCAGTCCCTAAATTGATCCAGTATGATACAAACATTACGTTTTTTGATGCATTTATTCTTTTGATGCATCTGCGTAAACATTATAAAGATCTAATCAAAACCGTATTATGGAAATTTGTTTGCATGTTTGCACCCGAGTTTAAATTTGTAACTTAGTGTAATGAATGCATGAAAATTCATGCGTGCGTTTGTGTGGCATGCTCCGGATCAATAATGCTACATATCTTTACTTACTATCACAGTTCGTTGAAACGTTCGGGTAATGAAAGATCGGTTTAGCCCTTGAACGATCGGTTGAATAGTGGGGAAAGATGAATACGAAAGTAGATTTTTACGAAAATGGCTTATAATGTAGATGTTATAATAGATCGACACACCTAAATTTTATATGTAAAATTTAGGCAATTTTTGCTTTTTAGGTTTATTTAACAACAAAGAGGTTGTCTATTTATTTTCTGGGTATCATTTTGCAAATTCTTTAGCATTTGAAGGTTCTTCTTATGAAATTTCTAAGATGGTTAATAATAAAATTGAGAAGAATCATGACCATGAAGTTGGGCAATTTTTTTACGATTTTTGCTGTTTGTTGACAAATGAGTGCTGCCAAGGGAAATGTTCCTTCGGAATTTTGACCGGACACATTCCTTAATAAATTAAATAGAATGTGTCCGGTCAAAATGTAATTGAAAGTCCGAAGGGACTTGGCAGCACTCAAATGATGTCCAAAATAGGTTTAAAAAAATTTTAATACGTAGACGTTTTCGGCTGAATGTTAGATTCAACATTACTGAAATCACAAACTTATCGAATCAGGGGTTCAGGTACTTTCATATAATAATCTATATACATACTGCATACATTGCATTCTTGATAGCCATATAACCCACTAACCCTAACTGCATCAAAAAAGTAACCCTAAATGGTACCTGACTTTAACGTTCCTCTCGAATCAGCAAATTTTTGGGTTGACACCTTCCAGAATTTATGAAAACAGCTATAATTATGTAGATCATCGTATCAAAATTATGTTTATTCATGATTTTTATTAGGTCATTAATCAATTTTGTTCTGTTTTATTTCAATTTGGTCTGTAATAGAATTTTTGAACTAAATTTTCAATTTGGTTGATTCGAATTTTCATATAATAGGATTTTAATTATTCCTTTTTATTGTCTGGAGCGAAGCGGAGGACACTCTGTTTTTACAATGCTGTTTGATCAACCCCTGTAGATCACCCCCAAAAAATTTTCCGGCACGTGACTAAGCCACTTCACTAATTTCTGCTAACGTTGATGCCAACGTTCACCACAACGTTCACCTCAACGTT